TAGCACCTTATACATTGTGTTCCCATCTGGCCCAGAATCGGTAACATACACTATCGCATCCTCCGAGAGAGAAACCCCATCCCACATTTGGCAGTATACTCGGACTTCATATGGTAACCCACTCATCTCACTTCTCTTTGGCTTACTATCCCTATCCCTTTTGAGCTGTTTAATTGCGGTAATGTGGGGATCGCTATCCTGCTCCTTCCTTAAACCCTCTACCCCCCAAGAATCTATCCAGTTAGTAAATTTCTCTTGACTATCCCTTTCCCCCACAGACGTGTTGGTTTGGTCTTCCGGGGTAGAGATAACATGTACCGAAGCTACACCGTCAGGACATGCTTCCCTCCCACACTGCTTCGCGGGTCTGCGTGATAACCCATCAGCATTACCATGTTGAGTACCAGGTCTGTGTCTAATTTCACAGTCAAACATATCAATAACGCTGATCCACCTGGCTAGTATACCTTCCGGCTCCTTAAAAGTTTTTAAGCCAAGTTAACGAGGCATGGTCAGTACGTATGAGGAAATGGGTACCCCTAATATAATGTTTAAAGTGCCTCAAAAAGGTAACCACAGCCAGTAATTCCCTACGAGTATTGCAATAGTTCTGCTAAGCCCTGCTCAGTGTTTTACTAGCATAGCTAAGAACTTTTTCCTCTCCACCCTGTATCTGGGACAGTACCGCTCCCATCCCCACATTGCTTGCATCACAATCTAATATGAACATGCCTGAATCTTGAGGGTATGAGAGACTAGGACTGGACACCAACAGGTCTTTCAGCTTTTGAAATGCTTTGTCACACTTATCATCCCACTTGAATATCTTCCCTTTCCTAGTCAACTTAGTTAAGGGACTGGATATGTCGGCAAAATTTGCTACAAATTTTCTGTAGTACCCTGCCAGGCCCAAAAAACTTCTAATTTCAGCAGAGGAAGTAGGGGTTAGCCAATCTTTATTTCCCAGGATCACAACTCACCCCATCTTCTGACACAATATGACCTAAATAAGAAACCTGTGTCTGTAGAAGTGTACACTTTTTGGGTTTAAGTTTTAAGTTTGTAGTTCTAAAACACTCAAAAACACTTTTCAGGCTCGACATGGCTATCTCAAATGTGGTTCCAAAGACATTTACATCATCTAAATAACAGAGGCATTTTGACCACTGTAAACCACCCAAGACCGATTGCATAAGTCTAGAGAACGTTGCGGGGGCATTACGAAGCCCGAAGGGCATAACATTAAATTCATAGAGCCCTTTATGGGTGGCAAATGCAGTTTTTGCTTTATCATTTTTGTCCATGCGACACTGCCAATATCCGCTTGCCAAATCAAGAGTTGAAAACCATTTCGCGCCTGAAAGTGCAGATAATGCTTCCTCGATATTTACCAAGGGAAATGCATTTTTACGGGTGACAGAATTTAAGCGACGGTAATCAATACAAACGCGCACAGAGCCATCCTTCTTAGTGCATAGCACTACAGGAGCTGACCAGGGACTTTAACTAGGCTCAATGACTCCAGCATTGCTCTACAACTACCTTTTGTGCAGGAGAAATCCTTCTGGTGCCATCTTTATTGGAAGAGCCCCTGGTGTATTTATGGTATGCTCAACTATTGAACTTCGTCCTAGTATACCGTCAGGACCAGTAAATATGTCCTGGTACTCATGTAATAATTCTCCCACCTTCCCTTTTTGATCCGTAGACAACTTGTCTGAAGTTCTATCCAACATATCCTGTAAATGCGGAGGTAACTTAGAATCTTGATTGTAATCTGTACCTCCATCAATTATCTCATGCACCTGCGCAACAGGTTGAAGACTACCTACAAAGGTGTTACCCTGAATCTTAATATCCCTATCAGTCAGATTTAAGACGGACAGAGTTATCCCCCCTCCTTTCTGAGGAGTTATCAATGATTTTGCTAACAGCAGGCCCTGGGTTGACACCAGCTTCGTGGGTTCAACTATACCCAACTCACTATCAATCTTTCCTTCAACATACCCTGCAAAGTAGCATACGGAATTCCTGGGAATAGAAACAGTTTCCGATACCCTGATAGGGGCACACCCATTTATAGGTTCTGCACCAAGTTTAACCCTGTGGCCCCCTAGCTTCAGAATCTTATCACCAAAATTCAATTCTCCCCCATGTCCAGAGAGAAAATCAATACCCAAAATACCTTGAAGACTCTGAAGAGTAGCCACTATAGCTTCTTGTATGAAACTACGACCTCCCAACTGGAATACAAACTCCGCCTTCCCAAATACCACAATGCTACTTCCCGAGGCTGTTGTCATCTTGATATTACAGCTTCGCAACTCAGGCTTATACCTTCCCTCCAATTGGCTGTATAAGTCAACATCTATCAAAGTCACTGAAGATCCTGAGTCTACTAGAAAATTAATATTTATACTACCCACACTAATTCCAGCAAACAAGCTGGGTTGAATCGTATTCAACACTATGACGGGCTCTTTACACTCAGATTCAGGAGCTGGTACTCTGGCCCCGAGACCAGCTCTGTCTAGTTTACCTGCTTTGACATTTCTTTGGCAGGTTCCTTCTTAGGGCAGTTATATGAGATATGCCCTAATTCATCACATACATAACACTTCTTCTGTGAAGAAGATGTACTTGAATTCTTATTCCCAAAATTTCTACTTCTGGAATTCAATTTCCTATTCAGCTTTTCAAACTGTTCCAGTATAAGAGTACCAAAATCTGGCTCAGGGATTCTTTCAGCCGTTTTGCTAGACTCTTCTGTACCAGTCTGAACAAAAACTTTAGCTTCTGGGTTTAACTCCCTGGGTTTCCTAACAGGAACTTGACTCACTTGCCTAGCACTAAAAGACTCAAACTCAATTGCAGCACTCACTGCCCGGTCAAGTGTTTTAGGGTGGCAAAATTGGACATGACGACCTACCTCGTAATTATTGAGTCCATCAATATACTGATCTATAATGTCACCCTCTAACAAGTCCAGCTGTTTATCTGGGTATGCTTTGCGAGCAGCAATTCTTAAAACCTCCCCGTAATTTACCAGACTCTCCCCCTCCCTACGGTATCTATTACGAAATTCTGATTTATACGCAGCCTCCCTTCCAGGGGGGTCAAAGCGTTTGCTCAATACCACTTTCACAGCATTATATTGCATCAGGTCTGAAGGCTGTAACTCGGACAGGATTCTCTGGGCCTGTCCTCTAAGGCATATAGTTAGTTGCTGGGTTTTATCAGAGTCGGACCATTCATTCCAAGTCGAAATTTGTTCAAAATGTATCAGAAAATCCCTAAAACTAGAAGTACCGTCATAGGTCTGGGGTTCTTTTTCTTTACGCCTGACTCTATAGGTAGAGTGACCTTGAGCTCTTGACTCACAACTGGGCATATGGCTACCAGACCAAGTAGAATGAAATGGCATAGAGCTAGTAGTACTTGTGCTTCTTACATTTGTATTGGAATATATAGGAGAATATCATGTTGTAGCCACAGTCAGGGAGACTGCTGGACAACAAGGTACAGACCTGTAAGTTGTTCTCTGACACATATTGAGGCAAATTCCGACTAGAGTGTGATAATGGAGAATCAAACCTAGCAGTAATTGGTGTACTTGACATACTAGGTCTAACCCCTTCTACAAATGATACGTGCTTGTATGCACTAGACATCCCCAAAGGCTCAACGTTATCTGCTGGTAACTCATGACCCACGTGCTCAGTGTTTACATTTCCCATATGCTCTATCTTTGCCTCATTTCCTTCAGATGACCTTTGACCTAAGTCATCTTTTACCCCTGGCAGTGACGAAGCGCCGACACTAGCACTGGCATTGCCTAGTAAAAGTCTACCCCGACCTACACCATTAAAGCGAGGTGCATGTAAGGCCTTACCTCCCGCAGATGGAAATGTACTATTTAGACTACGTGCACCTGAATACCGACCACTATCAACCCCACTAGATTGAGTCAAAGTCGACGTCTTGGGTCTCGCACCTACACCAAAGGTTCTACCCATCTCAAGTCGGTCACCGTCACTAACAGGCTGCATGACTAATTCATGAATTACTATAAAGAAACGACTCTGAAATATAACTAAGACAAAAGACAAGAAACATGTACAACAATTATAAACACATAATATAACCCATGGATTACCCAGACTTTATCACGGCACCATTTTGTAGCAGGAGCAAGTCCTGGCTTCGCTTACCCAAGTTCATTGAGCCTGGGGTTCCAGGGTTTCAGTCACAAACAACTCACATAGTGTATAACATTTAATACATTTATTAGATAGAGCATGTAACATACATAAACAGACGACACAAGCTATTCAGCCACTACCCGGCTACTAATGGGACATGTACGGGAAAGTTGTAAACAAACACACTACATGACGGTATAAACACAGCGGGCAGCTAGCAAGGCCCTCCCCGGACACTACAGAAACACACAAACACCCACCTAGCACCCGGACCGGTCATAAAAAGGTGACAGCACAACACATGACAGAGACAGAGAAAGACGGAGATACCCAGCCGAAGCTATTGGTACAGCTCCGCAAGTTCCCATGTGTGGGTATGTTATGTAGACCACGGTAGCCAATCAGAAAGGTTTTACCAGAGAGGAGGGGTCGTCCAATGAAAACACCGGTTACTAAAGTAAGGAAGGAAGTTAGAAAGAGTAAGAGCCCGGATAACAACACAGAGTCCCAATAGCAGCGGTAACACATACGTCGAACACCCACGGTAGATATATATGATAACTTTATTAGAACCCTTTCATTCACAGGTGAGTACATTGTACTAGACAGTGCACTGAAATAGAATACAACGGGATTGATTCAGTGCAGCGTTAGTAACCACGTGATACGTATGATATAGCTATTGAAGTTCCGGTTTTTAAGCCGAGTGGTCTGAGGTAGAATGGTGAGTTACTATAATTCTTGTGTGACTATATTGTAATATTTATTAGAATTACTAAGTAGGTAAGTACCTGTATACACTGGACTGTGTTCTTAATCGTCGTGTAAGAGATGATATTATCGGAGATTACAGTTGTACTAAAAAAGGTAAAGTATGTCATCTGATTGCCTTGCATTGGACATTCTATTTTGATATTTGTACTATATCGTGTGTATACATACACTACATACATGCAAGTGCAGCTACCCGTACACTCACCTGTAGTGGAACTCACGATTGGTGACTCGTCACGCTCTATTGCGCATCAATAGTTATACCTGACAATACTATAGACATTTCTCATGTTGGGGAAGACCTAGCACATAGAAAGACAAAAGCAGGGGTCATCTCAACAAAAACATCATTTTTTCTCGAACGTAGTGTATAGGGTATGTTACAGTGCACACACGCCTGCACGTTACCACAGGTAAACGATCATGTTCCATCGTATGGATACACATTTACACGACATTTCAGCAACGTCTTTTACATGATAATGACTACAGTCGTTACTGCATTTGTATGTTTCCTGCAAGCATTGTACAAAATCAAAATATATGTAACAGTGGTAATTTGATTTCAATCCCACCGGTATAGATCTCAACTGGGATCCCCGGACCTTCGGTGTCATCTGACGCCGGATGAGCTAGAGTTATCCGAGCCAAAACGTCAGTGGGAAGAAGCTGGTATTTCACTACCACGGCAATGATGACATAGAAATACAATTAACCATTACTGAATGCGCTACAACGTTCCATTGTCACGAAGTCGAGGAGTGAATACCGGATGATGGAGGTAGAATCAACAACAATGATATAAATTCAACAAATGTATTAACAATTCACTATATATATGTACAGAATCTACACAAGTGATAACGATTGAGTTTCTTCCTGTAAAAGGAACTATTACCTGGTGGTAATCGCACTAGGATCAAACGCTCTATTGCATACTGATTACCACACAGCATCAACATACACTCTCATGACTAGACTCGAGTATCCCTGTCACACCCTACATAGTAATAAGTTTTGTATCCAAGACTAGAAAGTAAACCATGTTCTAATTATGTAAAGTTCCTGAAATATAAGGCTTTGGTCATGAAGTATTCACACAACTAAGCTTAATAGTTAGTTCCACTAGCTACCCCACTGGGGGTATAAGCACAGTTCTGTAGTGTCACAACTACAT